AATAAATTAATATGGGCTAGAGAAGAAGCACTTGCTAACATTGTGGCAGTGGAAATTATAGAATTACCTATGTCAGATAGGGATCAAGAAATAGAAACAGAATTCGATCAAAAAGAGAGTAAGTATAAATTATATATATATCATATTCCTTAAGACACAGTAAAACATATAATTACAGAGGCAAATATTTTATTTTAAAATTATTACACAAACATTTCTAAATAATGTTATAAACATTAATAATTACAATATTAACAATTTACATTGAAGTTTGCAATAGGGATTTACCTTTTATAAATAATTTAAATATTTTTTACATTTGATGTGAATATTTTGATATTTTTTAAAATATGAAGCATTTTTTAATATAAGTAAGTAATACTTGTATTAAAGTAATACAAAAATAAAAAGTATTAAAAAGCTTGCTCTTACGGTTTATATCAACAATCATAACTAAATCACATTGTATATTTTAAATTCATTCTATAACAAGAAAATATTAGTTACATTGTATTAATTAAATTTCTTTTGTGAATGGCTGCTGGCAGGTATTGATGTAGACAGTTCATGTAAGTAGTGGAGCAGCAAGGGCTGGTTTGAAAATTACTTTATCTTCCTGCTGTTTATTAGTCTTATACGCACGTTAATTTTCTTTAGAAGCTCAAGAAAATATAAACGAATTAAATGCAGAATAGTAAATATTTTATCTTTGCTATGTAAAGAAATTCATATAATGTTATTATTTGCATGGTGATATAAAATATTTTAATATTTTTTTATAATTTGACAAGTAGACTTTTTGAATATGACAATATTTAACTTATAAATAAAAAAAAATTTAAACATTTTGCATGAATAATCCAGAAAGTAATAACAATTATTGTATTCACGAATTTAGTTATGCTTTACTGTAATTCTTAATTAACCATTTTTATTAATATTGTAATTGTTTGTTAGTTTTGCAGTTGAATACTTTATTCTTCCTTTGGTTTTTTTTATTGAATTCAATATATAAATAATAACTTGTAATATCATTATGTATATGACATATTTTATAATTTTATGTTATATCTAGGGGATGTGCTAAGCATGATGTTTAGAAGAGTCAGTTCTCAATTTAAACAAGCAAAAACATTTTTCCAGTCCATACTAAGCTTTACACCTCAACAATCCAATCAACGTATTGATTTAGTCCGAGATAAATTTGGATTACATAAAATGATTGTCCTTGTTACATCAACTGGAAAAGTATGGAAATAAATATGTTTACATTGATCAGTTAACAAGTATTATATTTATATTGTACAAATTATGCATTCAGTATTGATTTTATTTATAGTTATATGGCATTGAAACTAGGAAAGGTGAAATTATTTGGCAACTTAGAGTCCCAAGCATTCGTGGTTTTGCTAAAAGATCTGATGCAATCATTTTATATGTACAACGTGGCAGTAGGCATTTTCCATATCCACCACAATGTGCATTATTAGCAGAGGATAGAGTATGCATTATATATGCTAAACTATATACAAATATATCCTTAACTCAATATAAAATATTCTAAATGTTTTAGAAAACGGGAGAAGGAATTGTATATACTTTTAATCCAATTACTGGTCAACCATTAGATGGTTTAGTAAAACTAGGATATAGAATAAAACAATCTATGTTACTTCACGTAGCAACAGATGATTTTTTGAGAGGTATACTTATTTTTGACACACGAAATAAAGTTCATGTATATCCTGAAAGTGCAACTACAATTGCTGCATCACTAGCTAAAAATACATATATATTTATTGCTGATCAAAAAACTGGGATATTATCTGGATATTCTTTATCATATAGTACAGCTTATGTATGTATAAGTTCAAATATGTTACTTGCCTAACATTTTATATCAATTACTAATCTTGACTTTATCTTTTAGGAACTTATTTCTCATAAAGTATGGGAATTACATCTTTCGCCGACAAACCAAAGAATAACGCACGTTGTATCGAAAAATCCAATAGAACGTGTTCATTCTCAGGGTAGAGTTTTAAGTGATAGATCAGTTCTATATAAGTATATTAACCCTAACTTAGTCGCCATTGTAACAGAGGGTGTTGGATACACTCATAAAAGTAAGTTAATTACAGTGTCTAAAAAAATTATAATAAGTCTATGTATTAATGTATTAAATAAATATTGAAATAATTTATGGTTTACAGATACACTTAATTTGTATTTATTGGATGCGGTATCTGGAGCAATGATATTTTCTATTATGCACAAAAGAGTTCGTGGCCCAGTTCATGTTGTGCATTCAGAAAATTGGATAGTGTACAGTTATTTTAATGAAAAAAGTCGTAGAACAGAAATTGCTAGTTTAGAATTATATGAAGGAAAAATACAGAGTAATACCACAGGTACTAAGTGCAACGCTTTTTAGTTATAACTATAATTGATTCATATTTTTGTTTTTATTTATGTTGAACATAACAGATTCAATATTATACCATTCTAGTGTTTTCATCATTAGCTACAACTAAGTTGCCAATTGTAGAAAGGCAAGCCTTTATTTTCCCAGCAGCAATAGAATTTATGCGGGAAACTATTACAGAAAAGGGTATTACTAGCAAACACATCATAGGTATGTGAACTGCATACTTATTATTTTAATTTATATTATATAAATAGTAATTCTCATTTATAAAAGTTAAGTAAAATTTTAACATTTGCAAATAGAAAAATATGATATTGTATATATTGCTTTTTACATCAATAGTGGCTTTAGCTAATGGCGGAATACTGGAATTACCGTGGATGATGGTAGATCCACGGCGGCCTATTAATCCAGAAATACGTGAAGAAGGTGTGATACCATATATGCCAGAAATACCTATTCATATGGATACGATAATTAATTATAATCAAAGCATCTTTAGGATTTCCGGTATTTATACTAGTCCTAGTGGCCTTGAAAGTACATGCTTAGTTTTTGTACATGGTCTTGGTAAGTACTTCAAAACGCAAATTTACTATACCTTAATTTTACTAATAAGTTCAAATTCAATATTTTGAATTAATTATTAATAATATATACAAATTACAAAATTACAAGTAATTATGCATGTAATACGATGTTCGCAGACTTATTCTACACACGCGTGGCACCGTCTAAAACATTTGATGTTTTGAAAGAAGATTTCGATTATTATCTTATTGTGATGGTATTGACAGTGCTTTTAATCTCGTCGTACATCACAAAGAAACTAGCGTCCCAGAAAGCGCAAAAGCAAGCATGGAAATGATGTTTCATTTTTCTAGAAAATCAATGCATTACATTCTTAAGAGTATTTGTTCACTAAAAGCAAGACACTTTGCTAATAATAATTTGTAAAAAAAAGTACTGTTTTATAAAAAGCCAATGTTACTGCAAAGTAAATGTTAACAATTTATTATCTTACCTAAAATATCTTAATATACATATATATTATTTATCCTTTTATTAGTACAGAATACGCACACATGTAGCATATTTCTAAACATTTCAAAGTGTGCTAATCATTGTATGACAACAGTGGACCAGGATAACTAGTTATTAGATCATTAAAATAACTGACAACATGCTCAAAATATAATTATTTTTCGTTGAAACAGTAAAATATAGTTATAAATTTCTTTTATATACATACATTTATATCAAAAAAAAGAAATTTTAAATAGAAATTTAGGATAAAGTTATTAATTTAATTTGTCATATTCAATATTCCAATGCCTGAAAATTTTAAACGTTGTTAAATTTTTTATTATTTAACGATGACATCAGATAACATAGTATTAAAAATAGCTTAAATTTATACGTCCTACCATCTGAAAATTACTAAAGATTTCTCAATTTTAAAACTCATAATATATACATTATTCCAATAATTATATTTTGTAGTTCTTTCTTACAAAGATTGAGATATTATATTCTCATATACGCATGTATTAAAAAATACACGCATAGATATATTAAAAACATTTGGAAAACGTACAAGAACAAATATATATAATATCTAGAAAATTTTACTTTCTTAAGTATTTTAATTTATTTTCATTTGTAGAATAAGAAATTGAGCTATAAACTTGTATAATAAAATATAACAACAATTTTGTCAATTTCGATTGGGCACTCTTGCGCAATTTTTCGGAATATCATATAGAAAATTGCATTTATCAAAGAAGTTATATAAAAAGTATCATATCTTAAATTTTAAAATTGTTTGCATTTATATTTTATAATTTGTTCGAACTAAATTTATATTTTTATTCTTTTGATTATTATTAATAAATTATAAAATTAATATTGGCATCACAAATTTCTTATTAAACATATTTAGGATATAGAATATATAAGAAAAATAAAATGTTCACCTTTGTAACTATGTATGTTACAACTAACAAACCAAAAATCAAGTTACATCACGCACTGAGAAATATATAATACAAAATGTATGTATAGTACAAAAAGATAATTTAATTTATTATATACATATTTATAATTAAATAAAGATGAAATGAGCTATATTGTCTGTGAATAGAACACATAAAAACATGTTTGTTATATAGGATAATTATTTGCTTTGTAGATAAATGTAAAGTTTTAAATAAATATAAGTTATTGTACAAATAAAAATGTAAACAACAATATCAATTGTAAAATGTCAAATATCTTAATTGAATAAAAATTGTATACAAAAAAAAATTTGAAAGATTATAAGTTTTATTTATTTATTGTAATTTTTAAGTAATAAATTTATTATTACTTAAAAATTAATCACTTTATCATTGTAAATTTAAATGAATGAAGCATAATAAATACACATTTACAAATATATAATTGTATTTATTATAATACAAATTTACACTTTACAATACACTTATACTTACAATATACTTAAATATTACTACAATTTATTATTTTTCTGTTACTGTATCTATTTAATAGAAATTTTTCAATTTTATCGCACTTAAAAGTCAGAAGTTTTATCCTGAATATATTTTATTATAATATATACATTCTTAAAATATTCATTTGCTAAATTATTTTCAGTGATCTAAAAAAATAACAAAATGGTATTTAATGATTTTAAATTATTATGTTTCGTTACTTAAAAAGAAATGTAGACATTGTTTTATTACCATTAAATCTTTAATATTAAAAGTTGTATCCATAGCAATTTTTCTTATTTTAGAATTAAAGATACTAAGACATTTCACCAAAACAATATCACTATTATAATCTGCAATATCTTTATATAGCTGTATACAATATGCCTATAAACATAAAATAAATAATTATTTATAAATTGAAATAATATATGTGAAAATTTTGCTTGTTACTAAAATTTACTTGTAACATAGGATTCTGATGTTTATTGAGGTATAATTCTGTAATACTCAAAATATTCCATGTTTCTCGTTCATGAAAAGATAAATTCTTTGTTAATTGTCCTAAAGTAAAAAGTAATTCCTTTTGCAATTTATAAGTTTGAGTAAATTTATAAATGTTTTCGGAATTTTTATTATAGCTTTTTTTAGCAGAATCGCTCAAAAATTTTGAAAGTGCAGGCAATACTTGTCTAAAAACAATCATAAATTATTAAATTATAAATACATTAAAGATATAAAATATGAAACATACTTAAGCGTTCTAGATCGTATAAAATCTTTTGAAACATGACCAAGCACGTTTAATAATTGCCATGCTCGATTAATTATTAATACATTTTCATCGTGAAATCTATCTACTAGTGGATGCCAAAGTAAATGCACAATAGGTAATAATTGATTCTCCCAGTTTGATAAAATTTCAAGACCTTCTTGTAATGTTGACATTGCAATCAGTGACTTCTCTATTTCTTTAGATGGTAAGAAGTGTAAACAGTGCTTCATTACATCTTCAATCATTTTTATATAAGACGGTATATTTTTCTCTTTTCCTACAATTCATGTTTTATTTATAATATTTTATTTTTATTATTAATTTTAATAAAATAAATATGTACCTTCTTGCTCATTAAAATCTGTTTGATATTCATTTTCTTCTATGCTTTTCTCTACTGTTTCTCTCATTTCTTCTTCTTCTTCTTTAATTTCACAAATCTGTTCTATATTATCCATGTTTTTAACATTTTTTGCCTCATAATACTCTAACAAGGATTGAATAACTTTCAAAGATTCACTTTTAGTATTTATACTTTGCTCATGTATTATTGATACTTGTTTGGGATTTGCTAAATTTTTTATACATATTGTAAATGTATAAAAAACTTTCAAAAAAGAATAAGAATTTTTTTTTTGAAAACTACTATTTAATTGTAATAGCACATCTTCAACAATTTCCTTTAAACAAGGTAACACGTCGATTGTGCTATATTTCATGACGACTCCAACAACATCGAGCACACTGGGATTACGTTCTACTCTACGTAATTTTATACTAACATGATATGAAAAGTAATCGACATTGGCACGTAAGAGGTCTCCTACAGTATTATGTAGTTGTGATTCTGCAATCTTTTCGAGAGTTTGGCTACCAACAAAGCTGATTAAACTGTGTCCACTACCTAGAATAAGGTGCCTTTTAAGTAAATGATTTTATTATTTTGTAATTATTTAAATGTTCATTATAAAAATAAATAGCAACCTGCTCTTTCTATAATGAGATACAATGTTTTAAGAAGAAATGTGTCATAATCACGTTTCAAGTTTTGAGCTATTAATCCCAAACCTTCTAATAATAAGCAACATTGTATCACATTGCTTTGTGCCACTCGCAAAGGTACATCTTCATTAATTTCAATCACTGAATACCACAATTCAGGATTTATGTATAATTCTATAACTTCTCTATAAATTGGTAAAACTGATGAGTCTTTAACAGGTACTAAAATATTTAAAATATCTAAGAATTAATAATGTATGTCAAATTGTTTTAAACCAATAAATAATTTATATTACCATGTATCATCCAATTTAATAATAAAATTAACTCTTTTTTATGTTGTGGGACATCAAATATAAGGCCAAAAATAGTATCTATTAAAATTCGAAAATCGCCAAATTCACCTAAATATTTACATATTGCAATAACTTTTGCTTCACATACACTACTTTGGATAAATTTAAATCGTCTCCATAAATATGATCCATATGAATATGCTGGATCTTCAAGATCTTTAACATTTACCATTTGCAAAAGAGAAATGTTACTGCAATCTATTTCAGTCACATATACAAGAGCCAATATTAATCTACGAACATGAGATGCTGACATCATAACACGAGGCAATCTTTGCTCTCCAAGAAGTTTTAAATAACCAGCAATTTGATTCAAGCACGACAATTGATCACTATCATCTAAAAAATGAAAACATATTTTATTTAATTAAAAATGAAACAGTTTTAATAAAATATTATATTACATATATATTATTATTATAGTTATTGCAGTATTTTTTTACAAAAGATAAAAATGTTAAAAAGTCGTACCAGATCTCCTAATAATCCGAGGTAATTTTGTAAGAAGATTATAAAAGTTTTCTTCTAATAATTCCACTAATGATCTCATACTCTTATTTTGTATAAAATTTATATTGATCATATTTAGTGCCTTTTCAGCTTCTTCGCGAACTTCTGCAAATTCATCCTCAGATAGAGATATTAAATACTCTATTAGTAACATAATATTTGGTTTCATATTCCTGTTTAAAATGTAGGCAATTCTTTTTTTAGAAAATATTTCTAAGGTAAGACAAGTATAAAAAAATAGCATTACCTGCAACATGTTGTTACTAATAAATGAATATTTTCAACTAATTCCTTCCTAACTTTATAATGAGAGTGTCTTTTTAATACATCTAATTGTTGAACAAGTACATTGAGTTTAATTGCACAAGCATTAAACCATTCTTTATTTCTTTTTGCACTTTTAAGATGTTTTTCCAATTCACTCCTATCTCTCAGATTTGGAAAATTTTCTATTGGATTAATGTGTTTTTCATTATTTATTTTCATTAAATCATTTAATGATAATGTATCATCTTCCTCTATTTTATCTTTCATTACAAGAGATACTATTCTGCCCCAAGCTCTTACTGCTAACTGAAATTCAATTAGAATAAAAAATAAATAAATATCTAAATATATAATTATAAATAAAAATTTAATAACTATTTATATTACCATTGTAAGTTTATATCCTTGTATTTCGTTTCCCATGGCTATTTCTTGCAAACCACTAACAATACCAGGTAAAAATAACATGATAATATCAGCAACTTGATCTTGCAATGTAATATCGTTTCTATCTATTTTATCATCAACTTGACATAATGCCATGACTGTTTCAATAGCTTTTAATCTAAAACAATATAAGCACATAATTTTGAACTTATTGAGAAGGAAGAAACTAATTACTTTTCATATATTTACCTAAGAGGACGTGATTTTTCAATTCTGCCCATTGTTATTGACAATAATATTCCTTGTCCTATTTTAGAAGCATTTTGTCTAGTATATAGAACTTCTATAACTTCTGTGAAACAAGAATGTAACAAAGTTTTAATACATGATAGTACTGCTTCTTTAAGTTCTTCATGTCCCTCGATCACTACAAAAATCAAATATAACAGTAACATTAGTAAAAATAACCAGATAAGATCAATAGTGATTTATAGTTCAAAGTAATTAAAATCATTATTCTTTTAAGTAAATATATTACTATGTAAAATAATTAATAATACAAGGAGATATATTCAAATAAATCTCATATTTACCCATACTTTGTTGTGTATTATCATAAATTTGTATTAAAAGACATGAATATAATTTATTAAATAATTCCATTTTTGATATCTTTGCTCTTGATAGTATTGCCTCTGTTGTTTTTACTAATTCTTCTTTTACATTTTTACTATAGAATTACGAATATTCAGTTATATTTATTACATTAAATAAAATATCAAACAAATAATTTAATATCTGCATTATTATTTATGTATACTATATATAACATACTATAGTTTACTATAATTTATAGAATATATTAAAATAAATTATAATTTTTTATTATTAATTACATTTTTGTTAAATTCGCAAATAATATGGTTAATTAATCATATAATTACATTCATTTTTATTCTACAGAATTCAAGATAATTTACCTCAGTGTATCATTTTGTAAATGAACAATAAAGGGAAACAAAATATATTCAAGTAAATCCTGAATAACTTTGTCAGAAATCTTTGTCAAAGTATTAGCAATGTTGTAAGCAATATCTACACTTGGATTTTTCATTAAAGAATCACAAAGTGGTTTTAATGTAGTAAATGCTTCCTGTATTTGAAATCGTTCCATAGTTTTATTTAAGAGAAAAATATAAAATCGTAATAAATTCTAATTAACAAGATTCACACACTTCATGTTTGAACACTTGTCATATACCGAAAATTTAAATGCGTTTACGAATTTACTATATAGGGAGATTAAAAACAACTATCATTAAATGTTAATAATTTAAAACATGTATTTCGTTTCCCATGGCTATTTCTTGCAAACCACTAACAATACCAGGTAAAAATAACATGATAATATCAGCAACTTGATCTTGCAATGTAATATCGTTTCTATCTATTTTATCATCAACTTGACATAATGCCATGACTGTTTCAATAGCTTTTAATCTAAAACAATATAAGCACATAATTTTGAACTTATTGAGAAGGAAGAAACTAATTACTTTTCATATATTTACCTAAGAGGACGTGATTTTTCAATTCTGCCCATTGTTATTGACAATAATATTCCTTGTCCTATTTTAGAAGCATTTTGTCTAGTATATAGAACTTCTATAACTTCTGTGAAACAAGAATGTAACAAAGTTTTAATACATGATAGTACTGCTTCTTTAAGTTCTTCATGTCCCTCGATCACTACAAAAATCAAATATAACAGTAACATTAGTAAAAATAACCAGATAAGATCAATAGTGATTTATAGTTCAAAGTAATTAAAATCATTATTCTTTTAAGTAAATATATTACTATGTAAAATAATTAATAATACAAGGAGATATATTCAAATAAATCTCATATTTACCCATACTTTGTTGTGTATTATCATAAATTTGTATTAAAAGACATGAATATAATTTATTAAATAATTCCATTTTTGATATCTTTGCTCTTGATAGTATTGCCTCTGTTGTTTTTACTAATTCTTCTTTTACATTTTTACTATAGAATTACGAATATTCAGTTATATTTATTACATTAAATAAAATATCAAACAAATAATTTAATATCTGCATTATTATTTATGTATACTATATATAACATACTATAGTTTACTATAATTTATAGAATATATTAAAATAAATTATAATTTTTTATTATTAATTACATTTTTGTTAAATTCGCAAATAATATGGTTAATTAATCATATAATTACATTCATTTTTATTCTACAGAATTCAAGATAATTTACCTCAGTGTATCATTTTGTAAATGAACAATAAAGGGAAACAAAATATATTCAAGTAAATCCTGAATAACTTTGTCAGAAATCTTTGTCAAAGTATTAGCAATGTTGTAAGCAATATCTACACTTGGATTTTTCATTAAAGAATCACAAAGTGGTTTTAATGTAGTAAATGCTTCCTGTATTTGAAATCGTTCCATAGTTTTATTTAAGAGAAAAATATAAAATCGTAATAAATTCTAATTAACAAGATTCACACACTTCATGTTTGAACACTTGTCATATACCGAAAATTTAAATGCGTTTACGAATTTACTATATAGGGAGATTAAAAACAACTATCATTAAATGTTAATAATTTAAAACTTATTTATCAGTAACCACAAATTGACATTATTTTCATTAACATAAAGTAATAATTATTAAAATTACAAAAAATTTTATTCTTTAAATAATATCTCTTCAATTATATTTAGAATGTGTACATTCTTATTTGTGAAATTTATAGTTGCTATACAAATCATAACTATCATTAAATAGTTCTTTTTAATGTAATACCTATATGTCAAAAAAACAAAATAAGAATTTAAAAATCATTGATTGGTTAATGGAAGTTTGTTATAGGAGGACGAATGTAACTTTTTTACCTACAGTCAATAGACTTTACAATTGTTATTCGTAAAAGGATATCTAACTTAAAATAAACCTTGCTTCATTCAGTTAAAGCATTGTGGATATGTCATTTAGATTTATCATTGAATGATTGTCATTTATTTTTTAACTACGTTTGACAGTGTATAATATTGTTATGCATGTTAATACACTAAATATTTACAATGTAATTAATTCACAACCGAAAAAGGAAAAGAAATGTACAAGTTAAACGTTTTACTATTCTTTTACTATTTTGCAATTGTTGCTGTTTTTGCTGTACGTATCGAACCTCTTTTTGTTATTTATTATTTAGTTTTTAGATATTTTTGCATTATATTATTTACAACTTAAAATATATATGAAATCAGTATTTTATATATTAAGAAATCTTATAGTATAACAATTAGTTTTTATAATTAAATAATTCTGTATATATAGAACTATAACCTTGTATTAAATTATTTGAAGCTATACACATTTCATGAAATTATTAAACATACATTCATTGAAATATAAAAATTTTTAAAACTAATTTTTGTATTATATTATTAGTGTTGTATTAATCTCTATTATATGTATTTCATACAGGATACACCAAGAATAGATGACAATTTTTGCATAATTCGTGAACCTGTTTTAAAGTATTTTTCTTATAACTTTACAACTCTTACAAATCCTGAAAAGGATGTTGTTATAAATCTTGAAAATGATACAAATCTGCGATTGCAATTATGTTCTCCCTTAAAAGAAAAATGCAATGGGAAAGATGGATATGGAATTTGTTTAGTGAAAAACAAAGTAGAAAAAGGAATAGGTTCTAATTTTTTTTATATATTTAAAATATTAATATAACTTTTGTATAATAAAATAATTTTCTTTTGTTATATAGGAAAACTTCCTCCAAAAGTAAATGTAAAAGATGGAAGAATATTATTTATATTCACAGGTGATGATTGTATGCCTGATACAAATTATACTGTAAATATACTTATGAAATGTGATTATGAAGCTGGAAACAGTTCTTATTCAGACGTAATATACGATGCAGTAGGTATATGAATGATATGTATATGCAAATATATGTAATAACATGTTTATTACACTATATTATAAAATCAGTAAATTTCAAATGTTTTATTATTATTTTAGAAATTACAACCATGTAATATATACTTGATATGGAAAACTTCTTTTGCTTGTGGACCTCGAACTACTATACAAAATTGTAGTGTAACAGAAAATGGATTACATTATGATCTATCCCCTTTAACAAGCTACTCACATAATTATGTTATTTATATGAGTAATAAAGTATTTCCAAAGATTATATTAAATGTTTGTCATTCTGTAATATTTGAATATGGTGCTCTGTGTTTGCATTCAGGAGCTTGTTTACAAAATTCTTCGAAAACTGAGTATGAATATTTCTATTTTAAAGTTATAATTTTTACATGTATAATTTTAATTAATATTATGAATATATAAATGTCACTAATAAACTTTTGTTGTAGATATGTAAATTTAGGTATGGTTGAACACCCACCATTTATAGAAGACGGAAAATTAAAACTTAAATATGTAACTGGAGATATGTGTAAAGTGAGAAATGTTGCACTACCACATATTATGACCACTATTAATTTTATATGTGATTTTAAAGCTGTGGTAAATACAACCATAATAGATATTATTTACATTTTATACTAGAATAAAAATTATTCGTTAATATAATATTTATTTATATAAGCATTTATTTTATATTTATTAGGATACAGATCCAGAATATATTGGAGGAGGTGAAGTATGTAATTATCATATAAGATGGAAAACTGCAGCAGCTTGCAGTGTGGAATCTTTACGTGATCATAGTATAGCAACTGCTGGCAAATGTACAGTGAATAATCCTCTTACAAATTTTATGTAAGATTAGTCATATGTTTTGATTATATATTATTAAATATAGTATATATATAAAGTTTGTAACAAATACTTTATTCCAGGTATGATTTGAGACCTTTAATGAATAAAAACTTTTATACGTTAACAAATAATGGCATGGAATATGAAATTGGAATATGTGAATCACTTGTGGATAAATCATGTGTATCAGGAACAGGTTAGTTAAATTATTTTATAGTTATATCATTTATTTCTTTAAAATAGATTTAACTTATAATTATAGTATAAATATTACAATTATAATTATAAATTATAATTATACTATTACTTTGATTGTTAAGTGTTATTTTTAATTGAATATATTTTTATTTTCATATTTAGGAGTTTGCATTACCAAAAATAGGACATCTTTGGGAAAGGCTAATACAAATTTAATGTGGGAAGAGGGTAAACCGTATTTAAATTATACAGATGGAGATTCATGTGGAAATGGACAACAACGTTATACAATTATTGCATTTATATGTGGGACTGAAGGATTTCCTGATGGGCCATTTATTATGGAGCAAAATACTTGTCAAACAATTATACATTGGAACACTACACTTGTCTGTGAAAAAAGGGTTAGATGATTATTCGTATGTTTAACTTCAAGATTTTGGTATTTTTTTAAATGTATATATTTTTTTTAATCATTAAAGGTAAATATTTATATTTTATAGGTAAAGTGTGCAACAGATGATGATGAAATAAATTTAAGTTCATTGATAAAATCCGACAGTAATTATATTATAAAAATGAATGAAACCAAATTTCTCATAAATATATGTGGGCCATTAGTTCCTGTATCAGGTTTATCATGTGCTCATGGGAGTGCAATTTGTAAAACTACATTAAATTCAAATAATGAATATATAAATGAAATCGTAAGTAATCATAAATTTCTTTAAATTATATAATTATTTTGTTTAAATTAAACAAAATTTATTATTTAGTGTTCAAACTTATTTGCGTCTTATTTTATATTATACTTCATATTTTGCTATAACAACAACAGCAACTGTAATATTTATTTAAATGTAATTGATTGTTAATGAAATTAAATAATCACAGAAAAAAATATTTATATTTGTTGGCAGAGTTTAGGGTTTCCAAAGGAGAGTCCTATAATAAATAAAAATCGTGAAACTGTATTACGTTATGTGGGTGGTTCAGTCTGTCCTGAAAATCCAAAACAATTAATTTCTTCAAATATTACATTTCCATGTTATAATAATGACAAGGTAATTTATTAATATTTATTTATAAAACTACATGTAATTTATTGGAATATTGTAACTATATCATTATTATACAACAAATATTTTAAGGGATTTCCGGAATTTAAAAAATACGAAGACTGTACGTACGTTTTTGAGTGGAAAACAAGTATAACATGTGGAGCTTCGATAGGAAATTGGACTTCTCCTTGTATTATAAGAGATCAATTGCTTTCACATGAATGCAATCTTTCTTTATTACATAAAAATAAAAAAGTTTACTATGTAAGTTTATTAACATATAAGAATTCTTGCTCAAATTAATTTAATAAAGTAATATCACTTTATAATGATTTAATTTACAATGAATGAAGTAATAGTGTAATTTATTTAAAATGATTTTATAATGCAAAATCAATAAGATATAAGATTTTTTCAAAACTTAATAAACGTCAATTTATAGGTAAAGAACAAACAAGGAAAAAAATATAGTATAAGTATATACAGCGGAGAAAAGATTTGCGACGGTTCTGCTGTATGTCAAGGAAGTAATGGTTATGGATCACTAGCAAACGTAATTTTTGATTACGGTAGAGATGTTATAAAACTTCAATACTTTAATGGTAGTAAATGTGGAAATAGTAAGTATATAATGTATTTTTATTTGTATTTTACACTTAACTATATATTCGTTTCATATGATTACTTTTTTTTTTTTTTTTTTTTTTTTTTTTTTTTTTTTTTTTTTTTTTTTTTTTTTTTTTTTTAACAGGTTCCTACACATCAGAAGTACGATTTATATGTAACAAGTCTGTAGGAATTGGTGCACCAAAGCTGTTATGGGTAAGTACAAACAATTTTTATATTAATAAAATTAATAGTTACATTTGCTTATTGCAAAGTTTAAAAATATTTGTATTATAAAGATTTTTGAAACCCATTTTTTGTATTCTCTATTTTTTAATAATTATAAAGCATATGAAACAATTAAGAATTAAACGTATGATAAAGAGAAAAAATTATATTTGTAATTTTATGTAAAGAATAATCAAAATATAATTACTAATAATTAAAAGTAATAAGTGTACAATCATAAAAGTTTTTACAATATTTGTGAAAGATTATGTAAATATTTATTTCTCAGGTACTCATTTAGTAGTAATTATATAATAAAAGTCTTAACACTGAAGTATAATATAATGAAAAACCATTAATGACGAAATCAGTAACTTATAAGTGAGATTCTTCATTTACTTTTTTAATCTTTGATTCCTAATTAATGATGTGATTTTTTGTTAAAACGTGAACAATTTGCTTTTGATTTTTAATGACAGTTACAAAAATATCATCGAGCTCATAAAATTGAGCAATTAAATAAAGAATATATAATAGCATGGCATATTTATATACAATCATAGATTTGTATGTTACCTTAAGCTTACATTGAAGATTAAAATGCATATATTTTTACTATCTTTTATTTTATGTATGTATACTTAATTAAATCTCGTGAATATTTGCTTATGCAATATTATTTTGAATACATATTGTAACTATTAAATATAATAATTTACAATTATTAAATAAAATTATTGTAAAAACTTGGTTGTAACATATAAGTGGGCACTAATATACAAATGATTACAAAAAGTTCATAGTATACATACATAAAGTATTCACTATAAAGAAATAAACCTTATGTGATAAAAGTAATTTGAAAAATATTTAACTTAATATTAATTCTATTTCTGTACTCATTATCTATTTCAATAATAGTAATGGCAACATATTTCAAGTTAGAATAATAAAAGTTAGAATATTAAAAATTATAAAAAAGACACCTATTTACAACAATCTATCTATCTTTTAAAACTAGGTCTGTTCAGTCATTGTATGTAATTCGTTTTTAATGTTTAATCATACTAGCATTTAAAGGTTCATCAAATAAGTTTATAAATCTACACATGAGGTAATAAAATAAAAACAATAAGGAATTCGTAGATATTGTACATTCTACATGGCATCTACATATCAATAAGTATTGATCGAAACTCATTCGAAAATTTAGATATGTAGAATAATGCAAATATTGAAACTGAAATTATCCAAACAAATTGATTTACGAATTAAGAAATGGAAATCGATTTTGTTTATAAAACCTTCAATATATTCATGATGCTTTATAAATATATTTGTATATATTTTACCGAGCATGATTTTTTTTATCAAGAATTACTAAGTTCACTTACACCATGCGTAACACATAAAAGTCCGGTGTCACGCATGTGTGACGATTTTTCATTTTTTTGCCATACAAATAAACGAAGTATAGTTTGAACATTTTAGTCATAAATATAATCACACGTGCGTGATATATTATATAATATATTCGGTTTGCCTATTTAATACATTTTATACAGGTAAAAGTGAGCATAGACTAATTTAGCTGCTTGAGCTTTATCGATCGGTTTTCCATATGTTCCGTGACAGTAAATATATTAATTTCCATTCCAATAAAATCATCGAAAAATTTTCTTTATAATAGGCACATAAGGCACAAAGTGAATAATTTATGGCTCTGGTTTAAGAAGAAGCTCTGTCTTGAAAACTATTTCTCTGCTTTCAGACGTATACGATGACATTTCATCATACAGTGGTACATTGTATTTTATTCATCAAATTATGCTTTATCAATTGTTCGGATGAGAGAATAAGTTTGGTGCTGCTATCTGTCGGAGACAAATTTTCATGAGACTCCTTTCTGTCTTCATTCTTTTCGTCGCATATAAATACTCTGAGAGTATTTGCGGGTGGCGTGCTTGTGGCAGGGGGCGTTTCGGGAATACTAGTTGGATAAATTAATTCCTTTTTTTCGCCGTTAATTTGTATACACGGTTGATGTTTTTCAAAGATTTTTCTTTTTATAGTATTTTTTGTCAGTTCTGGAGGATGTGGTAATGCGTATCGCAATTTATCCCAGAACCAAGGATCACCCCACTTTACGTATGTATTCATGCTTAGGTAAGCTTTAAGTTCTGGATCCAAATCATCAGTAGGGCCGATCTCACCATACAAAATTAGAATAACTCTTGCTCTACCTTCGCTGAGCGCTTGACTATGTGCTGCTCTAAATTCCATCCGTCCCCAAACACTCTCTAAAAAGTTAGGTGACAAAACCACTATCGTTCGTCTGGAATCTTCAACAGAACGTGCGATCTGTGTTGGTATCCATTCTCCAGCTAGCCAATCACGAAAATGCAGACACAGCTTAAACGGTCTAGGACCATTTTCCAACTTTGGTACTAATTCGTTTACGATAAAGTCTTCATCTTTGTGCGAATAACTTATGAATGCATCGTATAACTTGTCTTTGTCTAGTTCATCCTCGGTTACTAACCATAAGCAAAGTTGGTGCGCATACAACCAAACTTTGATTTCTCGTTGGTATCGATAATACAATGCTGCCAGTAACCCGATTATCAAGCCAGTAATAGCTATAGTCATGCTAATTGCTACAATTATTATAGTATTTGTGGGACAGAGATCTGTTGCTATCATTTTTAACATCGGAATGTCCATACCTTTGCAGGTAATTTGCAAAGAATTAGGGATTTCTACAACTTTCGTTTGAATGAAGTTGAGAAAATCTCTTGCGTTGCAATCGCATAACCATGGATTCCCATGTAGTGTCAAAGTATTTAAAGAGGTATTATTCATGAATTTCAAGACATCTGGATTTAATTTACTGATATTATTGTTGTGCAGTTCCAAAACCTAAAACATATAAAATTAATCGCATTGATATTAAGATTATGCTTGAAAACATGGTCAATTTATACAAGACAGGTAATGTTGCATCGATAATATTAACCATACGTATGATAAATGTAACACGTTATAAACTGTTTTGTATTAGTATACAAAACAGTCCCAAAGATAAATTAAATTTTTATTTTACACACCTCTATATTCAGTGGCAATTGATCTGTAGATATGTCATAGATATTATTGTCTGATAACGACAATTTAGATATCTGTGCATTATTCAAACCGATATCGACCAAAGGCGACATTCTAGTCAATTCATTGCCTGTGAGATTTAACTCAAGTCGATACTCCGGTAACGTTTCGATATTTTGTGGCACGCTTGTCAAATTCTTATATGAACAATCAATCAAAAATGATTTATCGTAACGTTTTATCCAACACGTGCATTCTTTGGGACAAGGATTCACTACTTGACATTTTAATTTGTTCGATTTTAAGTTCATTATTGGTATATGTGCAAGCCATTCTGGGCTTTGACACTTTAGTCCATCCGGTCTTATATGAAAATAGTTTTGAACATAGGGGTGCATGTTTCCATCCAAGTAACGAAGAAAGTCGTATAAATTACAGTCGCATTCTATAGGATTATGTTCAACCTTTATTATTACATCGCGAGGAAATTTTTGAAATTTCGCTATTTCTTCAACTGTTGCCAGGTAAATGTGCTTTATTTTATTGTGTGTGAGATCCACTGTAATTTTGTTGGATACAAATTGTAGGTCTTCGGTCTGAAATAAAATTTCATATAAAGCGTCGTCAATAAAATTTATTACTTAAATATTTGCACTCATTGTAGTGGAAATTTAAAGATGATAATTTATGAAACACTCGATTAAAAATCGCAGAATGTATCAATAGCTTTCCTTTCGTAAAAATGATTAGTTTTGTAAAAAAAAAATTTCTTTATAATATATATTAAATAATATTTCCATTATCTTACCGTTATTTGTGATATTTGATTATATTTGAGATCTAATATTTGCAGCTTTACGCTGCTTATGATCCAATCACTAAATATCTCCGAAATATTGTTGTTGGCTAGATATAATTCTTCTAAATCGGTACAATCGTGGAAAGGTGATTTTCTTCCGTATTCGTCCTGATAGAAGGCTAACGAAGTATTAAACGTAAGCTGATTGTGAGAGAAAATCGCAACCTTTAGTTTAGTTAAGAAATTAAAACTTGTATCTTCTATTATTGTTAATTGATTTTCTTCCATGTTTAAAACTTCTAGCGATCTTAAACTACTGAAAAGATGCCTGAAAGTTTGAAATGAAGAAAAATTAGAATTTTGAAATTTTGTTTCATCGAATAATGGTTCCTCCCCATCAATAAATTTAATAAACAATTTGATGAATATTTTTAACAAAATTCCCCAAATAATGTGTATATAAGAAATAATTGAAGTTAAATCATGAATTAAATCATTTAAGATGTATTTTAACTTGAATTTATAACTTGTAATCTTTCAAACGCAAATAAATACTAAAATATTTAAGATGATTACAAAATATAACAAATTTTTTCATGAATTGAAGTTCTTATAAATTAATCTTCTCAACTTTTGGGGTACTCGTATTTTCTATTGTAATTTCAAAACAAAATATTCTTCAAGATTATCTTTCTATTTTGTTATTATCTTGACATCATCGTGAGATCAAAAACTCACCTAGATATCGAAGTAAGGTGGTTTTTAGACAAATTCAGTTGAACCAGATTTTTTAGATATGAGAAAATTCCATCAGGCAACGATGTCAGTTCGTTGTAATTAAGTTTCAATATCGACAAGTTAGTCAAACCTTTGAAGAGATCCTTATGGAGCGATTCGATATAGTTCCTTTCCAGACTAATGTTTCTTAGCGATATGGAACCATAGAATAGATCGACCGGTACTTCTTTCAAACCATTACTTCTTAATTCCACTGCTTTGAGCTCTGTCAAATTTGCAAACAATCTATTCGGTAACTTCGTCATGTTTCTTCTGTTACCATACAAATTCACGCTTCTCAATTTCACGTTATATCGCAGCAAATCCTCTGGCAATGACGAAAAGTTGTTCCAAAACAAATTCAATGCCTCCAGTTTTACCAATTTCGCAAAAATATCTTTAGGCAGAGTGGTTAAATCGTTCGAATTTAGATCCAAGGAATTCAACGACACGAGTTTGTCGAATGTGTCTTGCCTGAGCTGTGTGAACTTGTTTCTCCATAAGTTTAAAAATCGTAGCTTTTTCAGTGGATCAAATATGATCGGGTCGATGTCCACCATATTGTTGTTACCGAGTTCGAGCACCTCTAAATCGGGGGTACTGTCGAAGATCCCAGGAGGTAACTGTACATTGTTCTCGCGCAAATCAAGCCAGACTAAATGGGGTAGATCTGCGAAGAGGTCGCTGCTGAGATTGGTCAAGCCGTTGCTCGACAGGATTAGGCGTTGCAATTTTGGAAAACCCTGTAGATGGCGTTTGCTCAGAGTGATATTCAGATTGCCAAACGATTGGAATATAAGCTTCTCCACGTTTTGTGCTCCGAGTTTGTACGCGATTTCTCCTAAACTCATGTTCGTTGGTAAACCACACATCCGGAAATACATGGACTCCACATCGCTTGGGAGTAATAAGTTGGACAAATGGAAATCGGACCATTCTGGCGAGTTGCGACATTGCGTCTGTAAAGATAAAAACATTTTTAGTGAACAAAAATATATCGTTGCCTTGAGAGAATCAAAATCAAAAACCACAAAAAGTACACTTTATTAGCGCTATCCGAGTTATTGTTATGATTCTTTATTTTAATTTACTGTTATTTATCCAATAATATTTACAACGCTAAAATTTTATGAAAAATACAGTTTTAATAATTACCAATAATTATGTATGAAAATATTTGAACGTTTATATTACAACATTATGTTTGATAAATGAATTATATTACATTGAAGTATTAAAAGTAATGCGATATATATAGCAAGGAGAAATTTCTGGGATTACAGTGGTAAAAATAGAAAAGAATACAATGATACATATAATATTTACAGCTGTATAGTATATGCATCATAAATATGGACCATGGCGGCGCTAGTGTGCTAAATGGAAAATTTTCATAGGTCTGTTATAGCAACAAAAGATGGATGAACATATTGAAACTTTTCATTTTGCAGTTAATGATGCTGTTGACTAATATAATTGCATTCGTTTTATAATTAGTTTTATAACCGATAGTACAAGTTTACAATAAATATTCTGTAAATATTGTACGTATCATTGAATTACTTTCCAATTTTATTTATGTAATCTTTAGACAGTCTCCTTGTTATATACCACATCATTTTAAACATTTTAATTTAACATATATATTTTACTCAGCAAATGTAAACATTTATTTTTGTGTGAGTACTATCGTGGATAATATATTTTAAACGATATTACTTATAAACAAGTCTGCTTTCAGAAGTGTGAAGTTTATTGAAAGCTTTGAAATTTTTAATATGACTGTCCTATGATTTTTCTTTTACATTTCGCTCGTTGTTTTTCCTTTCTCTTTTTAATATGTTTAATTATTTCTTATAAAAATAAATAATGCCGAAAGCAATTAGAATTGTGAGTGAATTTTTGACGATGAATGAATATCTTCTTGCCATTTTAGAAACAAATTAGGTGAAAAAAAATTCATAGTTAATAAATATAAATTTTTGTAGATATGAATAATACCTAAATATCAAAAACAACTGAAAAAGAAACAGGAAAAGTTATCATAAAATGTAGATTAGTAGACGTGTAATTTTGGAATTTATGGATTTTAAAGTTTCAAAATCCATAAATAAATAAGAAGAAATATTGTTAGTGAAAAGGATACGAATTTTCTGTTTTTGATAATGGTTGCGTTAGTTTTTTCCACGTAAATTGTTGCTACATTACGTAATGGCAAGTGAAAGTTTCGAATCTTAATGTCGGAGGAAATTGAGGAGTGAACCACATAACTGTAAAAAGATACTAGTCTAATCTTACATTCCAATGCTTCTATTATTAAACACAGTTGTATAGCCAATATTTTTTCGATTAATAGGTTATCAAACAACGGATAGAGCTAAACAAATGTTTTGTTATAATATATTTAATATACTTGTCGTAAGTAATGGTATAATGATGTAACAATGAATATTATGAACATAATTTTACAATTAATCGATTAACGAATTGGTCTAGACATCAGACGGTACTTATCTCGAAAATTCAATTTGTAATTTATCTGCATCAAAATACACGGATCAAAAATGATTTCAATAATTGCTACTTTATCTCGCATCAAGTGTAACATATAGTAAGCCATTGTTACTTAATTATGCCATTACAAAACATCGGACAATAGAAAACCTAACGTGATATTCAATGTGCGTATATGGAGTACAAAACAGAGAACAAAAGAAACCTTGTCTCCCCGATCGCTCGAACGCTTGAAAAATAGATTTGAAAATTGACACGAGACAAGAGTAATAATGCATTTTACATGGGACCCGTAAAATCACGTGCTTGGTACGAAATTGCGATGTGCAGTTATGTTCTTTGCCAATGGGGTCGGGCACAGTGACTCACTCATGCTTACCTGAATATACTCGTGCGGTTGAACATTCACGACGAAGGCCGAATCCTCATCTGTAGGACAGTATATCTCATAGTCTCCGTAGTGACTGGGATGACATTTGCAGCTTTGAGTTGGACATTGTATTTCAGAAGCGTAGCATGTAGCAACGACCATCCATAGGATGATCCAACGTCCAAACGAGGATTCGATCATTCTGCAGAGCCTCGTAGTGTACGATCGACGTACTTACGCTGTGAATAGGAAAGTTCAATTTTCTCCCGTCAAATCGCGCACTTCCGTGAAATCGACTATGTTCGTTTAAGGAGCATTTAAACATCGGAAAGGCGAATGGGAAGCAGCGGTAGGTCGAACAGGCGAGTCGGAAATAGCGGTACGACGAATCAGATTAGCGCAGTAACTTCCTCGCGCAATGATAAGAAAACCCTAGCTCGTATCGTGAAATATATCAAATAGATAAATTTTTCTAATGTTTAAATAGTGACTTTTTGTATAGGGGCGCTGCAAGCGATTATTCAGTAGTTTGAATAGGTTAGGTACTGTCTTATAATTTGACAGTATTAAAAAGAAAGAAAAAAAAAAATAATTTAATTATTCCTTTGTAGAAGAAAAATATACGTGTCTTGAAAATTTATTAATTTCGGCCGGTACAATAAATTTCAGTAAAGTAAATTAATTTTAGTTGCACTGGTAAATGTTATTATTATAATTTAAAAAATAAAATAAGAAATTTGGCGTGATACACGCGTACTGAATATTAGAAAGTGCCGCAATGAAATTATCGAGCCTTATTCGACTTTCTTTCATGACTTCGTTAATTATGAATCATCCGTATATTCATGTAACTTTTTCGTAAGTTTGAACATAAAAAATATAACACAAAAGCTACTAAAAATAGAAATATTTGAAGAGATTTATGTAGATGTTAGAATAGCTCGACATTGATTCTTGGAATTTTGAGATTGCTAATTTTTCATTGGAAAATAAAATGGAAGAAATATTGAAAAATTTCAGCAACGATACTTTTCTAAGAACATAATGACAAAGAGTAACAACAAGAATATTTCAAATGAAAATGAATATTTTGAAATGAAATGTTCTAAAATTATTTGTCGCTTGATGCAATAACGTATATTGTGTACGAGAGTAATAAAACGATCAAATGATTTTGGCATAAGTTGTGCGACATATAGAAGCCAAGGTAAAGGTACAAATAGTAACTTTATTTTAAAAACATAATTTATTGTTTATTTACAATATATTTTCTTTTGGTGTTCAAGGAATTTCAACAAAAATAATTCATGGAAGATAAAATTTGGAATTTACAAAATAAAACGTTGCACGACAGACAGATGGAATTTTATACATCTGAATTTAAAAATAGCATGATATAGGGAATTATCTAAAAAACACTATTTTTACTTCAATATCGAAGAAACTCTAAACGTTATTTTTATCAAATATAAGAGAAGATCACTGATATTATTGGTACTGATATCTGATATAAAGTTAAGAACATCATGATTATTTCGATGTACTAAAGATAATGCAAAAATTCAACACACTGCAAGGTGTTATAACATTTATAGAAGCAATCTGGTTGGTATACTTCATGGTTATAAAAAAAAACAAATTCTATATTTTACTTTCTCAGAAATTTATCGATAAATTGATAAAATATTCTGCTACACCCTCCCCGCGAATATTGCAGGAAAATCATGTTTGCTTTGGATATCTAACGATACGTAGAAATATTTCCAAAGAAGTCTGTTGTTCAGATTATATTTTTACTTTTCATTTAGATATATTACTACAGAACATTTTTACTCAAATTTAAAAATAATGCTACTCGATTCACTGAAAATATTTGATATTCGTTCTTTCATTATTGAAATAATATACATGATATACCTGTTATTTTCTTCTCCTTTATCTAACTTTATCATTTATACTTTCTTCATATCTTTCTTCCTGATTTCATCTTTTTATATTTACTTTACTTAGGCAAATCGTTTTAGCTATACGTCATATTCTTGGAAAGAAGGAATATTTTACAATCGTTAAACAATCTGTATGTTCTCTTTATTTTTTCTTTTTTGATTTCGAAGAAATGATTCCGCATTTAGAACTTCTATAGTATCTTGATTGCCTGAGTCACAGTGTAGTACTTCTTATAACATTATACGTCAATTAACCCTTTGGAGCTTCGTCATCACGAAGCACCGTTACTTTTAACATTAAAACAAGATCAATAAAATTTAAATTTGAAGAAGATTTAATTAGTGATAATACGTTTAGTACATATGCAATGAAGATAATTTGGAGACATATATTTTTGAGATATACTATCCATGCTTACTTACAAAAAAATTTGATTAAACATAAAACGGAAATAAATTTCCTTGCAATTATTAATTTATGAACTCAAAACCAATTATGTTAAAAAAAGGAACGAATAGAATGTAATAAACAGAGAGTCCACAAGGTACCCCTGAGAATATTTTGTAAACTGTTCATCATGGTAACAGATGTGCCTGATAAAATTTTAAGTGAGATATTTGATTAGTTTCTTTTTTTTTTAGGCGGACACAAAGGACACACCAATGCCAAATTTGCTTTTCACATGCAATCGTATATTTCTTTAATGCGTTAGTCAATTTTGCTAACCTATTTTCACCAGAGATCCATTAATCTAAGATACATCTTAGTCCTTTGTGGTTGAGTGTTGGAAAATATGAAGAATAAGCTTTGCAAAAGTAAAATAAATTATTTTAATTTGTATAGTTGTCACAACATAAGTTGTCTAAACAGATATCCACGTGAAAGGTAGTTCCACTCACAAAGAGTTAATTAAAATTTTTTAAGTCATCCATCTCATTAACAAGTACTTAAATAACTCTCTGAAACTCATTAACTCTATTTCTCAATTTCATCGAACAGAGCTGCATAAAGTGACTACAGATCACTTCGATTCGAAAGTCTTTGTTGTTCTATTAAGGCTGAACACATTTCACAATTGGTCTCCTACCACTGCGACTGCTTCTCGAATAGGTCTGGTCATTCCTTACTTAATTGGTTGTTTACCTACTGTACGAGTTTTAGGTAAGTTGGCAATCAAGACGGAACAGAGATAAGAGGGGTACCTTTTCGTTCCGCCTGATTCAATCTCTGATGCTGTTGAAATCTATATTTAATTCTGACATAGTAACAGAATAAATTACATTGGCTCTGGCTTAAACTTAGTTACTAGTAACTAGTCAGCACCAATTCTATATCTACGTCAGTGCTTTGTCACTTTATTCCATTTGATCTAAATTCTTTTTGTTATACAATACAAAATAATTTTATTTGTAGATGTAGCACATCCAGCCAATAAGAAAAATTTGTGTGGTCTATTATCACTATCTTGTTCAAGGAGATGGTTCTGTTAGACTGTGGACAATCAGATCAACATTCCTTCTAAGTATAAACTGCTAAGTTCTGCACAGTAGTTCCATTTGGACATGAGGCAACTAAGTTTCAACGTGTGTCACCTATCATTACAATTATTTTAAAGAACGTGGTCCTGTTACATTACGCTTAATCAAACCGAGATTTCTTCTCTCGCCTTGGTTTTTCAAACTTCTGAGCTTCATAACGTTTCGAGGATCAAGACAAATCAATAATGAAGTATCACGATCACGTCTCAGCAAAAGGCATGTCGAAAGATCATACCTACCATGTATCAAATCCTTCGCAACTGTATTCTGCACAACGTGTATCCGGGCTAACGACCCGAGTACGCGCGTTTGGCTCGAAATGAGACACACCTCATTCCGCGAGTCATTGTAAGATGCGTAATGCATACAAGCATGCATGTGAACACGCTTTAGTAGAGGTCGAACGTGATAAGAAATCGGGAAAAATAGCATTAATTATTGCAGCTACGATCCTTGTAATTACAGTGTTTTAAGATTCCTGCCTGGGATCAGTTTGAAACGTCTTGGCTGTTTACAGTGAGATACGAAGCGTCTTATCTCTTTTCTTTGTTTCATGATTATTTATTCGATACCAGGATGTGGAAAGCAATTAGGATAATCCAAATGCATATACTTGGATGTTTCAATGGAAACTGAGAATCAGTGATGTTGCATGTTAACCTATGAAACGCATCGCAGGGTGTTTCTTAATTCTTTTTCCTTCTTCTGAGTTGCAACCCTCTCTCATGGTAATTCGACAATCTTTCTTCGCACGTTTGAATAAAAGAGTACCTTCAATGAAGACAAGGAGAGGCACTAGAATTAGGATTTTTAGGATACGATCATGACAATTGAATCTAATTGATTATTTAATTGAATATTCAATGTAGTGATTGTATTTGTGCATTCGTAATTGAGACCTATTTATGAAATATTTCGAATATACATATATTGATGTTTAGATTAGAAATATTGATTATATTTCGCAATTTGTCGACCTTTTAAGGATTAGCAAACTTCTGGTGATATATTCAAAATGCTAATATTAAAGATTCGTCGATTAGTACATATTTAATTTGTTCTTCTAAAACACTCATTTGTTTCAAGATCTTTTTATCTTTTTCCTCTTACAGTATCAAAATACGGAAAGCAAATAGAGTGATCAAAGCGTAAATACTTGGCAAATATGCTTTGTTGATAAACGAATGGAGAGCATGAATATATTTCCTGCTACTCTTTCAAGTACCTTTATCATCGTCGTATCAGAGATTTGCCAATCTGTATTTAAATAATTTTTCATTCGCAATATGCATCTCAAGGATACATTTTTCCGTGGGTTACGAGAATTTAATAGTCAGTGTAATGATAAATGTTGCATCTCGTTGAATTTATCGAGCCTTCAGAGCACAGTTCATAATGAAACGTAAAAACGAGATATCTCATGAGGCTCACGTACCGACACGTAACATGTGGTAACAGTAGAGAAATACACTGTAGTCTATTAAAAAGGTCAAAATTGTAGAACTTATTGCACAGAAGGAGGCGATTATGCTATCAGTGAAATCCTTGATAATTTAAATGGCACAATAGAATTTTATAAGGAAAGAAGACATACAGGGAATTTATCTAACATGAAAATTAGATTTTATTGGAATTATCAATAAAATCTTATTGGCTTTTATATTAGTATAAATAATACTTTTATAACAATAATACTTAAAAGTATTATAATAATACTAATAATACTTTATAGCATAAATAAAATATTTTTGTGA